GAGGATTATTCATAAATAATGAAAGCTTCATGACTTAAGAAGTTGCGACTAACGTTCAAATTATTTTCCACTAACCCATTATGTTGATTAATGTCGCATGCAGTCTATTACGAAGTAGTATTATGGCGTGCGCTACTGACAAGAATTATCAGTAGTATATGAATGCACAGTGATGGGAAGTAGCTAAAATTGAAAACAATATATTAAATGGTAAGTTATTATTATTATTGCTCCCTTGGGTTCCTAGTGGAACATAAGGCTTCAGCTTCACGTCTCCATTTGCATTTGTCTTCCTTCTGCTACACTTTTCACCTGCATCCATGTTAGTCCATACTGTTTCAACTCACCTCTTCACACGATCTCCTCCATGTCACCCTTGCACTGACGACCCACTCGCCGCTTCCCTTTCGGCCTGGTTACACTCGAGGGCTTGACGCGCAATGTCACCCAGCGGTCTCCTCAGCGAGTGTCCGATCCATCTCCACTTTCTCCTGCATATTTGTTGGGCGATTGGTTCTTGCTTTGTTTGTTCCCATAATTCCTTGTTGGTGATTCTTTCCGGCCCGGCCATCTGATCTTCAGTATAGATCCAGCGAAGACAGTTGTTGGTTGATAAAGGTCTGCAACAGTCTGTTGGAAATATTCTTTGTGACCCGCTCGCCAAGTTTCTGATCCGTGTAGAAGAACTGACTGACTTGACGTTTGTATTGAAAATCCGAATTTTGTTGTTGATGTTGGCTGAGTGACGAAGATATACAGATTGGTTTCAGGTTGATGATGTTGATGTGTTTCTCGCCTTCCCGGTTCTCGATTTGATATCGTTGTCCGTTCCGACGGCCTGTAGCTGAGACAATGCTCCCTAGATAAGTGAAGTGAATGAAGTAACCTCTTTCAAATCCCTCCCGTTGATGGTGATTGACGCTAGATGTTTCTGCTGTTGTTGTTGGTGGTTGGTTGGTTATTTTCATAACCTCCGTCTTATCAATGTTCACCTGGAGTCCTGTCTTCGCCGGCTGCTTCTTCGACCAGTTTGTCGGTTTTCGTTTGTAAGTCTTCGGTTTTGTGTGACATCAAGCATAAATCATCCACGCGCGAAATCCAAGTCTTCTAGGTTCTTCGCGACGGTCCAGGATATTCCTGTCTCCTCGTTTTCCATTGTCTGACTTTCCTGAATCCAGCTTGTTCTGGTCGGAGTTCTGTCTCCAGTGCGTCCTTTAATCTCTCCAGGATGATGCGACTCAGGATTTTACTTGGCGTCGACAGGAGCATGATTCCTCGCCAGTTCTTGCAGATGGGCCTAAGTCGCCCTTCTTTGGTAGTTTCACGAGGTAACCTTTCCTCCAGTCAGTAGGCACCTTTCCCTCCTTCCAGACCTTTTGCAATAATGGAGTCAGCATGTCTGCTGTCGTCTCTGGGTCCGCTTTCAGTGCTTCAGGGGGTATTCCATCTGGTCCGGCTGTTTTTCCAGCTTTCAGAAGTTTGATTGCGTTCAAGACTTCAGCTCTCGTTGGAGGATTGGTGTCAACTTGCAGTTGTGTGCGCGCTGTTGTTGGTATTTCTGGACGGGTTGCAGGTGATGGTCGGTTCAAGAGTCCTTTGAAGTGATCCGCCCATTGTTTAATCTGTTTTTCTTCCTTGGTAATTGGGTTCCCTTGGCTGTCTTTTATAGGTTTCGCTTGTGTTGATCTCTTCCCGGATAGAGATTTGGTTATCTGATATAGTGTCCTCAGGTCCCTTTTGCCTGCTGCCTTCTCAGCTTCAGTGGCGAGGTTGTCGTAGAATCGTCTTTTGTCCTTCCTAGCACTCTTCTTCACTTCTTTGTCCAGTGCTGTTAAGTTGAGCTCAGCGTCTCCTTCTCCTGTCCGTCCTTGCATTGAATCATTTTCTCTTTCACCATTCTCCTCTCTTCTATTAATTTCCAAGTGTCCGTTGAGAGCCATTCCTTGTCTTGTCTCTTCTTTCTTCCTAGAACCGTTGAACACGTTTCGTTGAGAATCGCCTTCAGAGACTTCCAATGTTCTTCCACGCATGATTCTTCAGTGATGTCGCGTAGTGTTTCCTGCTTTGCTCTGACAGTTGCAGTGAAAGTGTCTTTTGTGGTTGTGTCCTTCAGTAATTGAGTGTTGAACTTGCATTGTGGCCTATCCCCAGCTATCCTCGAGGCTTTTAGTTTCACCTTGAAAGTCCCTTCTACTAGATAGTGGTCTGAACCCACATCTGCTCCTCTCCTTGACCTTGTGTCCAGTAGGCTCCGTCTCCACTTTCTTGAAATTGAGATGAAGTCTATTTGATTCTTGGTGTTTCCATCTGGTGAAATCCATGTCGTCTTGTGTATATCCTTGTGTTTGAACACACTACCACCAATCACCAAATCATTGAAGGCGCAGAAGTCTGAGAAGAGTTCACCATTGTCGTTCATTTCACCGAGGCCTCCGCATGGTGAGTTCTCTTCCTGTGTTGTCTCCTCCCAGCTTCGCATTCATGTCGCCCATCAGGATTTTGATATCGCCATTTGGGACGTTGTCCATTACAGTTTGTAGTTGTCTGTAGAACGCCTCCTTCTTCTCTTGTTCTGAGACGTTTGTAGGCGCATAGCATTGAATGACTGTAACTTTCCTTCCTTTTGAGTTGAACCTGGCTGTCATTATCCTGGAGGAGATTGGTTCCCACTGCATGAGAGCTTTGGTTGCTGTTGGTGACATCATGATGGCCACTCCCTCGGTGTGCTCGTGGTTGTCCTCTGGGTGGCCGGAATAGATTACTGTCTCTCCAGTAGGTAGTTGGCACCTTCCAGTTCCGTTCCATCTGCTCTCGCAGATTCCCAACACTTCTATTCTGTACCTTCTCATTTCAGCGGCTATCTGGGCAGCCTTTCCAGTTTCGTACATTGTACGAACATTCCAGGTACCCATCCTTACTTTTGCTTTCATCGAAAGAAGGCACATCGGCTGACTGGCTTCCCGAAGGCTTTCACCAGCCTGCGTCATTTCACTTCCCCGATTCCAGCGAAAAGTAAGGCTATTGCTTATGTTTTTAGAATTTTTAATATATTTATTCGTTGAAGTTTCTGTAGCGATTTGGTTGTTTTACGGGGGTGGAGTTGCTAGCACCACGCTCCAACCCTCCCTCTTTATCCGGGCTTGGGACTGGCGAGAAAACTAGCAAGCTAGTAATCTGGCGAGGTTCTTGTTCCCAATGATTCCATTCAACGAAACTATTGAGATCATTTGTCAGCAGTCTGATCTTCTCCCACTCTTATAGTCGGAATTCAAACGCCTACTGCTTATGTGTACCATGGGTATGCAATTCCAATTTGACAACACTCTTTACTGCCAAATAGATGGTGTAGGTATGGTCAGTCCACTTAGCCCTGTTTTAGCAGGTTTATTCATGTCCAACCTTGAAAGAACAAAGTTGAAGCATGCAATCGACGAAACAACTTCCTACTGTCGTTATGTTGATGACACACTTATAGTGTTCAAAAATGAAAGTCATGCTTCACATTCACTAAGATTATTCAATGATGCACTCACCAATATTGATTTCACTATGGGACATGAAAGTGACACTTCCTCAACATCGCCATGGAACGCCTAGAAGACGGTAGTCTTCAAAAGTCAATTTATCGAAAGCCTACATGGAATGGACAATACTTACATTTTAATAGCTTTTGTTCAAATAGCTTTAAACGTGGTCTAGTCAACACTCTGTACTATAGAGCGAAGAGAATATGCTCTATAGAGAAATTAGAGGAAGAATTTGAGTTTCTTGAAAAGATAGTGAAGAGCAGTGGTTACCCTCAAAGGTTCATCAACAAGTATGGAAGATCTGAAGTCACAAATGTAAAACAAATCACAGTGAGAAAAATGTCTATCTACTTTCAGCTTGATTATAAAGGTGAAAACATTGCAGCGATGATCAACAAAATGCTGAGTACATCACTAGCCATAGTCTATCCTGCAGCTAAACTCGTTCCCATCTATCAAACAACTTGGTCTTTGATGCAATCAAAAATCGATAGATATCCTTCTCATGTTAACTCCAACTGTATATACAAATTTACATGTATCTTCGGGAGCAGTTACATATTATATATATATATATATATATATATATATATATATATATATATTAGTGTATGCGTATAACGATCGATTGAATTTGCTTAAAATGAAATCTGTGCAGGTATGTTAAAAAGGTTTTTGTAGATATATTTAATAATGTCTTTGCCCTGTAAGCAGCTGCCAAGAAGGCAACGAAATGAAAGATGTTACCACTTTATTCTGTTAAAACTGTAGTTCTTGCTTTGTTCAAATTCATTAAGGGGAATAAATGCACGGAACTAATATGGACTGACTGGAAGCTTATTTACCTCACCAATCAATTATATGCGTAAACGCCTTCGATTGGCTAATATGGGTTGCGCGGCAAGAGAGAGCTCCTGGAAATGTTTTTTGAGATGTTACAAACGTTTGCCTTCCGAAGCTCCGTCCTTTTTGGATAACATTTTATGAATCATAATTTTGATACGAGCTATCTGCTCAATGAGCTTAAACATTTGATATACATATATATTATTTTTGCTGAGGCTCTTTCTTATTTCTAATTCAGTTTTTCTTCGATTACAACCTATTTCATAACAGGACTTATCAACTGGTAAGTAGAAGCTTTTATTTATCAAATGTAGATCTAGCTTACGTTGTGGTCAGGAAATCATCTCATAGTATAACTATCAGAAGATAAATAACCAATCGGAATAATTTATTGTCATATGCAACTTTTCGTCTCAAGGTTTAACCTTCAGATTATCAGCAACCAATAGGAACAGTTTATTATCTGCTGACCTAGCTAATCATAAATGTGACCAAAAATGTATAAATGTAGTGAGGTTTCCCTCAATAAAAATAGTCCATTATCAAGGATAACCGGTCAGACTGATACAAAGGTGTCGATTAGTTTCCAAAGAATAAAATTTTATCATACAGGAAAAAAGAACTTACAACAAGCAAATTGTTGTAGTACAAATTCATAACCACTTGGACAAACACAGGCACCAACACCTGGATGACATATACTTCCAGAAATATGAGCACATTCTAAATCCATTCGACAATAGAGATCAGTAATTACTGAAAAAAAAGGTGGAAAGAGACAGAAAACAGTGAAAGTAAAGTAAATTATTTCATCGATGTATCTCTTGTAGAGGTGAAGCTCGTCGAGAGTTGATGGTAAGGAGTTGTTTTCTAGGCTAGCCATAAAGCAATCGGCCAAGAGGCGTCCTAGAGGAGAACCTATTACTACTCCATCTGTTTGTCTGTATATTTCGTTATTGAAACTAAAGTAGACGTCGAGGGTGTATCGTAACAACAGCTCTTCTAGAAGATGGATTGGTAGATCAACATTGATACTATTGAGCTGAATGAATTCACAAGGGGAACATACGGTTTCTGTCAATGGGATATTGGGGAAGAGAGAAATTATATCCAGGGAGACCGTTTTCTTGTCTACCAAGTTCTCATTCTTAATTGAATTAACAAAATCGAATATGTCCCGGAGGTGGTATCTTGACAGCTTTTCTTTCACCACCCCAAGGATTTCTAACAGACATTTTGTGAATGAGTGAAAACTTCATCATATCTAGCATTGGGAGGAGTGGGATGTCTTGTATGTATACTTAAGGTAACCCATACATGCGCGGCGTTTCAGAACGTCTACTTCAGTTTCAACGACGAAATATGCAGGCAAACAGATGGAGTAGCAATGGGTTCTGCTCTAGGACGCCTCTAGACCGACTGCTTTGTGGCTAGCCTGGAAAACAACTCCTTATCACCGACAATCGAGAGCTCCAACTTCCTAATTGATACATCGATGATACCTTCATTATTTGTGGTGAGAAATTCGATCTAAAGAAACCTACTGCAAATCTTAAATTATTTTAATTAAGTGAATAGCAAAGAGCCGAGTCATATTTCAATAAAAAAAAATTCATGTTCTCCTTGACTGTGATGAAATTGATCCTGATTCATTGAATTGGAAAAAGACTTTAAAAGATGAACAGTCGGTGGATAACTTTTATCATATGTCGAATAACCTCTGTGGTATACAAGCGAAGACTGACAAGTCATCAAAAGAGGTAGTCAAGACTGTAATTCGAGTGAACATAGGAAGTTTTCCACGACGGGTAATGTTAGCTGACTGACATAGGATGGATCAGGTTGGAAAAGAGTCAATCGTGGTCAAACCAAAATATGGCTTCATCATTCAATGAAATCCGTAATAGTAAGTTTAAGCACGCCATGCAGGTAGGCGTAGACCTCCTGACTGGCTGGTTGGGGTCGTCGGGATGGTAAAAACCAATGAAGGCTGGAGACAATTGTTAATTGGTCTCTAAATGATAGTTCACAATCGCTGGTGCAAATGCATTCGCTTTTTGTGATTTATCTTATCCAATAAATTTCTACTATTCTTCCACATCACTATTCTTTCTGCCTCACTCACGCTTCTCTTAATTGTCTCTCTCTGTACCCTATTCTCTTGCTTTGTGTGCAACATGGAGGGTAACAACTCGAACTGCTGCACATTTGTGCAAAGTTCTACTTTGAAAATCAATCAGTTAGTCGGTCAGAACATGGACAGGACAGAGATGATGATGAAGATATGTGACTAAAGACAAGCGGCACCAGTCACTATCAAAGAAAGAAATCCCAAGAAAGTCGTCTCTTCCCTTCGTCTAATCTAGTCAGTATCGTTTTAAATACAAACTCTAAGATGGATGGATGAAAATTTTAAACACAGCAAAAATATTCATTCAGACATCTATAAAACACAAAATAATTGAGGAAAGAATATCGTTTTCGATAATCTCCTCTTCTGGCTCTACAATTATATTTATGTATGTTTATATACACAGAATATTCTAGATTAGTAGTCAATTACAATATTAGTGTTTTTTAAATAACATCGATTTAATGTGTCTTAATGTGTACAGAAAATATTAGATTCACATCCCAAGGAAAAGCATACAAACAAATCGACGGTGTTGCAATGGGTAGCCCTCTGGGGCCCCTGTTAGCAGATATATTTATGTCGAAATTAGAGAAACAAATGCAAGGTATGCTTGGAGAATTTATGCTGTACAAACGTTATGTAGATGATACTCTTATTATTAGTAATAATAGCAAATCTATTGAAAACTTTATCACCCTATTTAATCATATTCATCCAAATATTCGAGTGACTTTTGAACTAGAATCGAATAACAAACTCGGTTTCCTGGATATTACTATGACTAGGAGAGATGATGGAATGACTAAGCGATCTATTTTTCGTAAACAGACGTGGAGTGGACAATATCTTCATTTTACCAGTTTTGTTCCTATCCAGTATAAACGTTCCCTGGTGAAATGTTTGTTCTCAAGGGCTCGAAAAATATGTACGAGTGACACATTGATGGATGAGCTTCGACATATACATTCAGTTTTACTAGCCAATGGTTATCCAGAAAAATTCATCAATTGTCACGGTAAGGATAGACCACATGTTGAAAAGACAGCTTCTGTACCAAAGAAAGCCATCTTTATTAATCTACCATTCAAGGGCGACCAGATTATGCAGTTGACAGCTCAAAGACTTCGGTCAGCCATCAAACGCACATTCTACGCCGCATCTCTTTTTCTCACTTGCCGAACATTTTCTATCCCTGTTCCTACGATTAAAGGACGAAATTCTGTGGACTCTACTTCAAACTGTATCCACAAGTTCACCTGCAGCTGCGGTGACACCTATATAGGTAGAACTAACAGAATGTTCCAATGTCGTCGAAAAGAACATATTCCAAAATGGCTAGTAAATCATATCGAAAATCCTAACGCGATTAATCTTAGTAGAAATCCAGTATCATCCATTGCAAAACACTTATTAATGTCTGGTCACAAAATCAATATTAATGACTGTTTCACAATTATTTCACATAACTCTAATTCAAGGTTATTGAAGGTGATGGAAGCACTTTGGATTAATCCTCACATACAGCCTAAACTGTGTATACAAAAATGAATAGACTTCAATCTTCGCCTACCCTGGACTACATGACCAATCTAAATATGATTGGTCATTAGTATGTACTTTTGTTTTTATTTAACTGAGTAATTGTCATGAGATTTATTTTATTATTGTTAACCATGTTAGTTGTAAAGCGGTTGTAAAGAAACTACGAAATGACGATATCATCTCGCGGCGAAATTTGTCTTCTTAATGCCTTATTCTAACATCGATTTGTTAAGTAAGATCACAATGGAATCACCACACTTCATTAAAGATGCTTAAATTATAACAATAAGGACAGAAAGAAGGGCTTCTATTCCATTTTCAGAGTATATTACGAGAAACTTATGCTTAAAAGGAAGCGGATATTTACAAAGTGCAATTACCAGAAGACACCTTGTGGATACCTCGGGTCATTTTGTCGAGATTTTCAAATCCTTCAAAATATTAAACATATAAAGGACAGCGAATTTGACTAACGATTAACTGTTGAAACAATTGCAGCAATCAAACGTCTCAGACCAAACTTATGCACCATATCACTTTCAATACACTGATTAGTCATACACACTAGTGAGCTTAACCCAATAAGCAAGATTTCATTCTGATGAACTTTAACCTCTTTGAGTTGCTATGCTGATGTACAAGCTAACATTGTTTATTAGATTTTTCTGTTTTCTATCTTCCATCATCTCTCTTTTTTCTTTCAAAGTTTGACCCTGTATAAATTGATGGTAACTTAAACTAAAAAAAATTGTAATGTTTACATTCTGGATGCGTTTATCTTATAATGATTTCACTATTACCTTTCAAACATTGAAGTATGAAATGCTATTATTTATGATCATTGTAAGTTCAGGTGGTTGGCATCTGATGAGGGGAACCTGTGAAATAGAATGACGATGATATCATTTTATACTGCCAAATCTGATCTTTCTTTTTTCCTATCGAAAAATAATAATTTAGATATAATAGCAAATAGAATATCAACTAAAATTAGGGAAATTTCTACAAAAAGTTGAAGATCATTCAAACCTAGATGGCCAAGGAAAGGATAATGTCTCAATTAGCTTCTTTTTAACACACACACAAATTAGGCTTCTTAATGTGGATCCTAACAGCTTCAGTAATATTTAGTGATAGAACTCTTAAGGCGAAATAATTATTTGTCGGTATGTGGTGAATGACTCTGAAAGCCTGGTTAACATCAATCTTGTGTTCTGTATCGACAAGGTGATCAGGGTCACAGTCAAGAAAGCGAGATAGACATTCGTCACTCTGAGAACAGTATGGATATTCACAGTATTCAGTACAAAGAACAGGGACAGAATTTCCAACACTAATGCCAATTCAATGCCTCAGTGTGATTCAAGGACCTGATGCGTGCGTCACTGAAATCATTCCCAACCTTTTCGCAGAATTTCACCATTACCTCTAGTTCAATGCTGGAGAGTATATGGCCGGCTTACAGGAAAGACTAAGCAAGAAGGAAGTCTGGCTGGCATAGAACCATCTAACAACCGAAGGAAAAAGGGATGGATTGGAAAATTAGACAGGGAATCAATCTCTATGATAAGTAATCAGAAATAATTGTTTATTGTCTTTTAAACGACAAATCAATAATGCCCATCCATACATGAATATAATAGCAAAACGCTCAGATAAGTCTTTATTCCGCGAATTCTTTCATTTATCTGTACACTGTTCAACACTGATCTTCAAGTATATCAAGAGAATTTATTCAAAGTTATCTACGAAATCAAAAGAAGCCTCCCGTTGAAAAAGGAAGGTAAGCTGCCGAATACTTTGCATTGCGGAGGTATTAGCGATCCGGATAAAAAACCCTGACTTCTGCACATATAAGAAACTTCTCCACTCCATCCTTCCACCTTGAGTAAAATTCCAGTTTCTACTACTTTGTGAATAAGGCTTTTTGTGAATTTTTGTGTGATATCTTAGTAACATCTTTTTCTTAACTAACGCTTTATTAACTCGACTTATTACATAATTTGTTTAAGACACTTGTGTCCATGCTCTTCCATACAAACTCATTTCTCTGGGTGCATTTCATATTACTCAACCCTTG